CGGACAGTCACAGAAGAGCAAGGGAAGAAATGGACCGCAGAGAGGGCAAGAAGGACAGGGACTCAACAAGGGGACAAGGAGACTACAGGACAAAGTCCCAAGAAGATGACAAGAGTAAGAGAAGACGTCATGATACTGATAGTGAGGATGAGCATGAGAGGGGCAAGAGTGACAGAAATAGGTCCAGGCACAGGGACAGAGATGACAGAAGACGGAGAGACAGGTCTTAAACTGAAAGGATCACAAACTTTTGTTTACCTTGGACATTTTTAATTTTAGGAGTGGTTTTATCCAGCAGACAGCTTGTCTATAATGTGCCAAAAAACAGTTACTCAAGCAACTGGATATGATTTTGAAAACGTCAGACGTTTCAGCTAGTATCCACTAGCTTTCGTCAGTGACTGAGAGACCAGAGGGGAAAGCAGGTTTATATACACAACCTGTTGGTTGATATGCAATCAATCAGTTGATTTGCATATCAACCAACAGGTTGTGTATATAAACCTGCTTTCCCCTCTGGTCTCTCAGTCACTGACGAAAGCTAGTGGATACTAGCTGAAACGTCTGACGTTTTCAAAATCATATCCAGTTTACCTTGGACATTTTTGGCATATCGTATTACCTGGATGTCTAACCTTCATCGACGTATCTTGTCTATAATGTTGTACAATATACATGTATGTATGAAGTGAAAAGGCACTTGAAGAAATTTGGAGGATCCGAAAGTATGCACAGGTTTGTGAGCCCAGTAGAGAGATGAAAACAGCTCCATAGGATGATTTTTGAAATGAAGTCAGTGCACTTTGTAGTATTACGTACAAAATGTAGTGTAGCCATTGTGTTAACAGTAGTGTTGTTCTGTAATCTTAGTCGTATATTGTCTAACCTGCTATATGCTTTACATCAGGAGTCTGGAAACATGGCTTCAGTTTTATTCTATGTGTGTATTGATAACTGTCCATGCTTTTGCCTAATAAAGGTTGACAAGCAAGTGTTATTTGTCAGAACTTGTTTGTCTTTCTTTGATAATGGACATGTACCCAGTACATAAAAAATTGTGTGTGTATTAGTATGTTACCATTTCCATATATATTTTATTTTATTCACATGGATTTTTGAGCATTGGATAGGAAGCACTTATTTCCATATATGTGAAATTCATTAACTGATGTTGCATTTAAAACAGTCTCCATTTATAACCAGTCAATGTGTTTATTCATAATCAGACTACAATGTACTACGTCTCATCCTTGATGCAGTGACCTTGGGTAGCCATTTTTGTGTCCTTGGGCAGCAGCATTTGTTTTTTGAGTCAGCCATGTATCAAGTGGCTTATTGGCCCTGCTGTATTCCCTTCACGCCCGGCAGCCTGATCCTCCCTGAAGGACAGTTAACACCGCTGACCTCCTGTAAAATGCAAAGAGTCATAGAACATCGACCTCCATGTACATCAGTCCAAAGCCAAATGCATTACATATATTAAGGTCCCGAGCTCGGAAAACATGATCAATTCAGGTCTTTGATGTTGCAAAATGACCTGCCAAATGTACCGTTTTATTACCTTATGGCATTTGACGCTTAGTATCATTGTACCCCGGTAGATGCCATTCAGAGCTTTTTACAAAACAGTATTTCCATAGAATTGTATTTTCTGTGTATTACAAAGCTGTAATAACAAGGGTTCACTGATTATACAATATTTGCAGTTCTTAAATTTGTATACCAAATGTCACGTATGAAATTTCAGTAGTGAAACACATCAGAATTTCCTATTTGCTTATGCAAATCTTAAGAACATGCCCAAAATCAAGAAAATCCAATTGTGATTTCTTGAGTAATCCTCTTTCAAAATTCCTGGCCCTGCAGTTTCAAAGCAAGTTGCTAGGGGAACAAACCTATACCACTTCCTCCTCCCTGCCCCAAGAGCTACAGTTTATCTACAAAACTATAAAGGATTGTTACAGAGCCAAGAGCTATACTCTTCTGTTCCTGTACCCACATATATTAATCCAATGGTTATTTCTCATTGCATGTACCCATCCTATTGAAATGAAGATGCCCTTAATTGAGCTGGTATGTTTGAAAGTGTTCCGTAAATTTGCTATCGATTCTTGGAAAGCATTGTCCCGTGCTGAGCTGCTAAACTATAATCATCCCACACATGATCAGGTGGCATCGGGTGAGCCCACTGTGAGAATCAATAAGTGATATGTGCTGAGTGACTTGTGGATCCTCTGAGGCTCTGTTCTACACCACGGGGCATGAAGGGTTAATGTGTCTTTCATTAATGTGTAGAATTAATCAATGTTCTCCCGAGCAACACTTGGCTCCAAATTGGAGCAATTTCTGCCACCCACGCTGTAGAAGATTGAAATTTTCTCAATCTTCTGCCAGCAACAGCTGTGATAAGAACTTCTTCTATATGAGTGGTGTATATTTCTGGAGCAAGACATGTCAGAATCCATGAATACAAGTGGTTTCATCCGGTACTTGTAACTCTATGAAGTTGCCACATAAGGAAACCTATTTTAAAAGCCTGGAAAGAGCTAATTTCTTGCCTAGCAGCCATAATGGTGGTGTGTCTTGAATAACATCTCAACTGTATCATTTGCAGTGGGCTGACTTCCCAGGAAGTTTCAACACTGGTGATTACATCCCTGTCTTGGAACAAAAGAAGTTTGTCAATAATGAAGAATGAACAATGGTCCCTAGGCCTGGGCGCTTGTTGATAATGATGAAATATTACTTATTTGATAGATGTTATCCAATAACGTATGGGGCATGTACAACAAACAGGGACACTAGGAAATGTGAACCAATAACAGTTTACTGTTTTAATTGATTTTCTGCCAGTTCTCTGTGACACTAGATGTATTAAAACATGGGGTCAGTCACTGCCCCAGATCTGTTACAAATATTCCCATACATTCTACTTCCTCGGGGATAAGTTTGAAGAAAGCTCCCTGTGTGCTTGTTTGACATTGTAGAGACTGCAGATCGATTAGAGTGGTACCAATTAAATTACACAGTGGTGCAGGCTATTGCCTCTCATCACTGGTCTTATTCCCAGTGGAGGGGCTGTTACATTGGGTGTCCTTCAATCGTTAATAGCTGTTGTGCATTTTAGTCCACTCATGGCTAAAAAGTAGCATTTGAAAACCATCATACTTGATATTATTGTGTCAAGATCAATCTGTAGCTTCAAGAAAATTATTTGGAGAATATGAAGAAATTTCTCAGAACTGCTCTTCCTCCATCAATTAACCACTGCAAGCTACATGTACCATATCTACCAATCTGTTTTGAAGGGTACACTGTAATTGAGATATGCATATGCATGTAACATCAACAGATTATTCAGTTACTTTTTAGATGTCACCAATTCCAGCCAATGCCAGAGTTGGAAGCTGGCTTTAATAATCTTGATTTATTAGTATGTCACTTGTACCTAGAACTTAACAGAATGTTAATTGTGTATATGCAAATGTAGTATCTACATGTATCTTTAAGAAAAGCATAAGGTCTCCTTTATTGGGCTCTGATTCAATCTGCAGGATCTGGTGGTAATATTAAATCAGGTTCTGTCCTTGGTGCTGAAGAGATGATCACATAAACCTTTGAGCAATTTATTGCGAGTTGTACTGATTTGTGATGGGTCTGTGTTAAATCTATCATAGCAAGTGAAAGGAAGACAAATATTCCTATTTCCTAAACTGATTTTGTTTGCAATTAAGGCCACAAAACATCATAAAACTATCATAACTGATTTTTGACAGAAAGTGTGAATCGTAAGTTGCATGAATGTGTTGCTTAAATTGTGTAAAAGCTATTCAGAATGGATTAAGATCCTGAAAGGCAATGCATCCAATGACCTAGCCCATTCCATTGTTTGGGATCGCTTAACATTCTACATCTATTTCCCTCTCTAACTTCCATGATAAGATTGTGAAGAAGCATCTACATGCCAACCTTGTGCAACAAGACTACTTTTCATCCAGACAATTTCGCAGTGATTAGATTTTTCTACAGATAATGATGACAAAGTATGGGACCAGTATGATTGTCTTTCCAGTTCTACCAGAGCTTCAATGGCTTCTGGGGATCCTTTGAACTTACTGACATCTAATTTAGAATGTGGCACCATATAGACTATTTACATGAAAGAGATTGTACCTCAAGGACTGTCGGCTCGACCAGCCAATGTGGTTTATTGCTGCAGAGGGGTGTCATTGTATCTACAAAATGGTTGCAATGTCATGTTTTGCATTTTCTTCAGAAATATGCTCCCTTAGTTGTATGAAGTTGTATAATTGTGTTTGGTTTCTCCGACATAATGTGTGTTCCAACGCATGAATTAACATTCTAAACTGTATGTGTTATAATTACACTTCGACAGAGAGGCCTGATGAACATCCCACTGAATGAAACTAAGGGTGTTCTTGAGTACGACGGTATGTCTTCTCAAGACCAGCTGTAACACAGGCCATTAGGACACGATCAGCCTGTCCTGTCTGCTGCTATGTTTTGACCCTGTTCCCACCTGTGGTTCAGGGTTTTCGCACATAATTACCCCAGAGAAACAGCAACAGTTAAGCAATTAAATAGAATTCTGGGACACTTAAACAGCAAACATGATATCTCCTTGCTGCTGCCTGCTGTAAAACGTAATGAAAAGTGCCATGAGTCAGTCCGGCAGGTTGTGTGGATTTTAATTCCGTCTGGGTGGGCGGAAGCGGATGGGCTCGGAGCGCTACAGCTGGTGTTCCTGCACATCAATGATTCCTGCAAATTGATATGAATCGGAAGAATAAATTAATAAGTCCCTGGTGGGAAATTGATCGTATAAATTCTCTGTTTCCTTCGGTCTTGTTGCATTTGTCTTGTCAGTGTGTAAGCTAACAGTGAGAATATTCGAATAGAAAAAATAATCTAGCCCAAGTGAAAATCATAAGTTCAGCTATCAATCTCTGTAACATGCAAAAAAATTGTAAACACTACAGGATATTCATTCAACATACAATGTAGTCTTGTAGCTTTTACTAAGAGTTGTTAAAATGACAATTTGATCTGAAAAAATAGCAGTATTGGACATTTGAAATTCTTGAAGAGAAGATATTAATAAATGTAAAAAGTGGCTTTGACCTTTGTAAAGATAACCAGTAATGTATTGTACATACATATATCATATTTCAAAATTTGAATATTGTTTATAAACATACTTTATTCCATTAGTAATTGTACTAAAATATTTTAATTCTAATCATGATCCCTTAATTTGATTTCTTTATCTCTATTTGTAATGTCCAGCATTACCAATTTACATACATGAT